TGCAATATGCGTTTTTGCTGCCTGTTGCAGCGCTCTAGCGTTGCACGGCAAAAACGCATAAAAACTTCGGTAGGCCATGTTTATTGCAAATAGCAGAAAATGGCGTTCGGCTTTCAATAATTGTAAAACTTGCCAGCGAAGATATTAGTAATTTTTCTTTTGCCATTCTGAATTCTGTGTTCACTCTCAGGGAAAACTAACTTTCCAATAAGTAAACATTAACAGGGGCTCGATATTAGCATGATGATCAAGATGTCGGGAATTGGGATCTGACGTTGATGGTGTTACTAGAATGCAAGAACCCTAAACGTCGAATATAGCTAAACGAAACTTCTCAGTCCTGAGCTGCACACCTACAGTTAGCACTTGCCGCCTGTTTGATTTATATTTACTGCTTTTTATTCATAAATCGCCCGAGTGGTCGTTAAACTTCCTCGTGAAGACCATTCTCTAATGCACGATGTACATCAGTTGTCAGCAAGGCGAACAGTACGGCTTGTCGATCAGATTTACATTCTCGTATGACTGCACCAACATCCTGCGCGTCGCTCATGTAACAAAGAGTCCGATTACTATGTGATCGGTGGAGACACGCTGAGCATCCTTCGCTCTCTTTGTCACAGCCAGCGCTCACTTTTTTAAAATTCAGCTTATTTCAGATGTTGGAGTTACAACAGCATCCCATGTTTTTCAAAACTCTTAACTGCATGTGAACACTTTCGAGAAGAAAGAAGTAAACCTTTGTATTTTAGTGACTTTGGCTAACGGCGTCATAACAGCGCCCAGTGCACAGCTTTTAATTTCTTTTAATTTCTCAGCAAGCTATGGCAAGTTGTCCACTCAAGAAGAATCATGAAACATACCAATGCATTTGCCAGTTTTGTCGAAAATATAGCCGATGTTACACTGGCAGCTATACGATCCAGGGCTGTTTTGGCAGATGGCGTGCGAGCCGCATACGCTTGGCTCACCGAAACATTCGTTAATATCGACACAGGTTTTGCCATCACCGGTCCAGCCCGATTTGCACTGACATATACCGGAAAGACATTCCGCATTTTCACCGCAATGACATCGTGATGAGGCTATTCCAAGGTTTGGCTATAAAAGATTATTATTTTTGACAATTTTTTTTGCTAAGAGTGGATTTCAACATTTGGAAGGGGAAATGACCATCTGAGTCATTTTTGAAATAAAAAAATCTATCTCAGACATTCTGGTCAGATGTAAGGCTGACGAAGGTTTATAAACAGTGTTGAAAAATCACGAGTTGTAACGCTTTTGTAAGGCGATACTTGCTCATGTCGCGGATATTTTGCGAAAAGCCAATAAGAATCAAAGAGTACGCGTTACATATAATAGCAACATCAGGCAATACAGAGGAGTATGTATGCCAGTGAAATAAGCCCTAATGTAAATGCTCCAGCTATCTGGTGACCCCACCAAACTGCTTATGAGGGCTGATAGTGTAATGGATAACATGCCACAAATCGAAGATATGTAGTTGGTAACGATAAAAAGTTCGACTTCCCACTGTCTCGTACTCGTCTGCAAAAGAAGATTCCGTTTATAACAGCCTGAGCAAGCTTTCAATTAGTGTAGATTCCCCATGGCCAAGTGAAATGTCATGTTAAAGACAAGGTTTCCTTTGTGGACTGAGGAAATTCAAGCCAGTAAAAAATGTAAAGTTAAAAATGCACTCACTCGAATAGTGACTGGGCTGAAACGTACAGTATCAGCCTCATTTGAAGAAGTAGGTTGCGCGGATGCATTGTGCTTAGCGGGCAGTGAACTTGTTGCTGCAGCTGTTGTTATTGTTGATGATGGTGTTTTCAACTGCTCGGCACCATGTTGTTGTTGCTTTGTTGCCTTTGAGCTGGGCACGTTAATCGTGGATGCCAGTTTTGGCTGCACCGGTACCACACGTACTGGTATTCGCTCACTCTTGTCACTTTTTATCGGCATTATACCTTAAAGAAATTCTTTCAGATTGGCGCTTTTGCCTCCAGAATCACACAGAAGACCATGAGAATTTCGGAACTCATTAGAAAACTTTAAATACCCGCGAATTCTCGAATTTTTAAGAACTCTAAGTATAGGCGCGAATTAATATGTGGTAAAAGAAGTACACTGTAAAGCCTACATATAAGCGCTTTCCCGAAGCATAATGAGTAAAATGTGTTATGTTATCAATACCTTTGCACGTGTTTGTTGTATTATCGTATTCATAACAGATACACAAATATGCACCGGCTGTATTAACACAGTCTGGCTGCTCTCGTGGACAGAGATTCTCATGCTCCGCACACTCGTCGACATCTGTAATAATCATATGCCAACACTGTGCGAATTTTTTTTTCTGGATCAAAAAGTCCAAGTCAAAGAGCTCTCCGTATTCGCTTTTTACAAAAAGCCGAGGTATCGGAAGCAGCCCAAGTGGTAGCATGCAGGGTTGCTGAGAAGTAAATTTCGAGGGTTGCTTAAAAGTAAATTTATGGAAGCAATTACTCTCTGGCATATGCAAGTACCAATTCACCATCGAAATATATGTTGAAGCCTCGACCTTTTGCATGATAGTGGCGCTATTCTTTCCACTATGAAATGCCAACCAACAAAGTATGAATCATTTATAATTTTTGGAAATTTTGTGAAAGATGATATCTAATTTCGAAGATGATATAATAATGTTTGAATTAGAAAAAAATTACAAAATACGATTTTTAAAAAAATAAGAAAATTAAAATGGCAATGATTTCTGAAAAGCCAAGAAATTTTTAGGCTATGAAATTTTAACGGAAAGTCCTACCATCTTCGCAGATCGGTGCGCCGGTCCATCCAGGATTACACTTTCCATTGGGGCATGCGCCTGTCTCGGCATTACAATGTGAACCACCTTCGCAGTGGCACTGTCTAGTGCAGTCGAGCCCCCACTCCGTATTACCGCATGCTTCTGCACATTCTTGCCCCTTAAAATAAGCAGTAACATCGCCTTTCATAATTAATTGTTAAAATATGAGTATCAAGATTATCAAGGCTTTTTAATAAGATTACTTTCTCCCCGATTACCCGAAAAAAACCAACCACACAAAGACAATTATTCCATCCAGTTGTGAACTTATTCCCGAATTCTTTTCAAGCCAAAAATTAGTGATTTTGCGTTGACCACTCTGTGATCATTTCATTATTGTACTTCGAGTTCTTACCAACGTTGTCAATTGCAGTAGCACAGCTGAAATTCTGAAGCAGTCCCGTCCACTTACAATTAAGGCCGAAAGCACTGGCAAAAGTTTTTTAGATTAGCCTTTTGCTTTAATGGTAAAAATATTGTTCCAGAGACAAAGTTTTCGTCCGAACTTTCTGGTGATGGAAAATATGAGAGGAGAAATACTGGTGAAGAAACGAACTTCAAAAAATTTTTAATTTTTTTGCCATCAAGAATGCCAAGATCGTCCGGGTAATCAGCATGAGTATTCCATTTAAAATTTAATACATTTCCTACAGACATATCTCCTTCACTTCTTTTTCAACTTGTTGCTACTTTAAGTCGCTAAAAGGAGGAAAAAAGCACCTTATAGCCGGCTCCGCAAAGGAACACTTGATCGGAATCGATACGGAATAGGAATTCTCCCGGGATACCGATATCACTTTTCTCAGCCAGCTGTATTGCGTTGTGTGTCCCAGAACCCGGCAACGAATAGTAACCATCGGTGCCACTGAAACCGGCCTGCAAATACAATGCATCAAACTGATGAAATATGCTTCAGCAAGAAGAAAGCAGTATGATGGAGTGAGAATAAAACAAGTACCACGGCATCGTTGTTTGTGTTCAATTTGCTGTACACGATGTGCGCAAATGTGCCTGATTCGCTCATTATCAGTGCTGCTTGAAATGAGTTCCCATCCGAATTCTGTAATTCATCGCACTCATCACGACAGATCATTTTTTATGGTTAAATTTTTTATGCAAATTTTATTGCATCTTCAAAACATAATTCTACTTCCTTCCCTCCCCCTCCTCGCCCCATTCCCCTGCCCCACTTTCTCCTCTCCCTTTTCCATGCCCTGGTCCCCAACTCCCTGATTTCCTTTGTTCCGGGAAAACCAGCTTTTGAGTTATTTCGAGCGATTCTAAAATTCTGACAGTTTGCAAAAGCAAAACAGCAAAATATGTGGAGGTCGACAAATACTTTGCATTTTGAACAGTTTTTATGCTCTCTGTTTTCAACCAAAATTCGACAAATGTCCAAGAAAAGTGTAATGCGTCTACTCACAGGTTCCGTGATGTCGCGTGTGTTCTCCCAGGTAACCACAAGGACAGAAGTGGGCTTGAATGCAGATCCATAACGATACTGTATATTCACTTCATTCTGCGCCAAATGCAGTACTGATGGCTCTGCAAGAAAAAAAAAAGACTTATGAAATTTCTCAGACTCATACTTCTGTGGTAAAATATTCAAGCAGCTGGTGAAAGTTTTGCATTATTGAGTGGTATTCATGAGAAAGTAAACTACCCTCAAATGGCTTTCGAAGAGGTGACGCATATACGTCGAAGGCGGTGGGTACAAACTGGAGATGTGCAACCCAGGTTCAAAGAGCCTGGTATGTCTGCGTCCAGCATGTAGGAGTATCCCAGTAACATTACTAACATGAGATGTGTACACTGATAGATCGGGTGATCTTGGTATCTCAGTGATGAGTTCACAGTGCCCTCATGATCTGCTACAATTACCGTCCAGTTTATCTTTTCATTGTTAATAGATTTGAGCAAAATGCATGTGCTCAAACGTTTTCCATGGTTGCATTACTGTTTTATGTTAAGATTTACTCATATACACCAAGAATATCAAAACAGCCCAGACAATCA